GAACCAGAATGGTGGGAATGTTTTGGAAGCTGCTTGTGGCGTTCCGTCGTCGTCGTCGTCGTCGCACATGTTTAAGGCCTGATGAATCATGCTTCCGGCAAGCCTTCAGGGGACATGATTTTTGGGAGTGTCTTGGGGGCCTGCTTGGGGCGTTCCGTCGTTGTCGTCGCCTCTTGGGGAGGCCTTTTGAAGGCGCAAGGACTGATGTCCCCGGAAGGCTTGTTGGCAAAGTTAATGTTGGAAGTGTCTTGGAGGGCTGTGTGGGGCGTTCCGTCTTCATCCTAGCCTCTTGGGAGCCATGTTGGGGGCCTGATGAATCATGTTCCTGGCAGGCCTTCTAGGAACATGATTTTTGGGCGTACTCCTATCTTGGAGGGCTGCTGATGGCGCTGCGTCATTGGCGTCGGCCATGCCTGGGGCCTGATGAATCATGTTCCCACAAGGACTTCTGGGAACATGATCTTTGGGAATGTCATTGGGGGCTGCTTAGGCCGGTCCGTCGTCGTCGTCGCCTCTTGAGGAGCCATGTTGGGAGCCCGATGAATCATGTTCCCGCAAGGACTGTTGGGAACATGAATTGTGGGAATGTCTGGGGGGGGCCTGCTTGGGGCGTTCCGTCGTCGTCGTCGTCGCCCATGTCAGGGCGTTTCGTCGTCGTCGGCGGCCACCGACTATCGCGTACCTTAAAACAAACTGGGCGGGAAACCTGTGAAAGACCGAAGAGGACGAGGAGGAGCAGGCAACGAGGGGAAAAAGAACAGCAAGAAGATTACAATTATCGTCATCCGATGGACCCCCTCCTGGTCCCTCCGGGGCCTCCCCCTGGCCGCTCAAATTATCTAGGGACCTTGGGCCCATCCTGCCTCTTGGAAGCAGTTTCGAAGCCTCTCGGAGCCGGTTTTGTCGGCCTCTTGGGGCCCCTTGGTGGCCGTTTGGGGCTTCTTGGGGGCCTCTTGGGGCCTCCTGGGGGCCATTTGGGGCTGGAATGCTGGAATTGGGCTTTTCTTCGGTTCGCGGTCCCCCTCTTGGGTCCCTCTTGGGGCCGCCTTGGGTCTCTCTTGGGCCCTCGTGGGCGCCTCGTGGGCCGTCTTGGGATCCCCTCAGGAGCCTCTAGGGCTGTCTTGGGGTTCATTGGGGACCTATGGGGCCGTCGCCAACGCCGTGAAAGCAGAAAAATCGTAAGTGCTGAAAATGCACGTTTTCTTAAGGAAAATCAATGGTTTGAGGCTCTTGGGGCCCTGTGGGTAAGCCTCTTGGGGGCCTTTTTCGGCGTCTTGGCGGCCTGTAGGGCTCTCTGGGAGGCATCTTAGGCGTCGTGGGGCGATCTGTCGACGAGTAGCTGCCGTCGTGGACCACGCTGGGCACGTCTGGGGGGGATCCTGGCGCGTCTCGGAGCCGCCAGGGCCTCCTCCCGAACGGCTCTGGCGAGTCGTGGACCCCATATGCCCCGTCGAGGCCCCGGCCCCGGAGGCACCCGCCCTGTATTCCGGTGTGTGTGTGTGTGTGTGTGTGTGCGTATATATATATATATATATATATATATATATATATATACATACATACATACATATACACATAGATGTAGGGTTCGATACGGGTTTGGATTCAGAACTGGACGGGCGACGTTGTTTCCCGTTATCTCCCGATCCCTACATTTTGATCCCGATCCCGATCGAACATCCCTATCCCTATCCCCATCCCAGTCCCTGTGCCCATATGTCCCGAGCCTCCAAGCCCTATCCCCCCAACCGCTGTTCCAGATTCCCCAATCAGCGCTTGCACTGAGAGGGCTTTGTAGCGGAAATTGAAAAATTAGGCGAACATTTCCCGCCAATTCTGGTGGCCGGCTAAGTTCCTGGGTTCCTGATTCTGGGTTCCTGGTTATTGGTTGGGCCGATTTCGGTGGGTTCCGGGTTCCTGGGCTTCCGGGTTCCCAGTCGATCTCCCCATCGATGTCTTTATCGATCCCATTCCAAACCATCCACTGATTGTTTTTTTCCTCGGGTGTAATTAATCTACACCTCATCCCCCACCCGACTAGCGACAAACACAGGACAATGAGGGTTCCCCCGCCATCCCTGCCAACAAACAAAGGAAAGCGTAATTTCCGGCACCCCCTTGGGTCATGTTCGTGGGCCCCGCGAGCACTTCGTGTTTCTGGCAGGCACAGCGGGGATGCATATCTCATGCTGCGCACAAGGCCACCATCCCTGTCCAGAAACACTTCAATCTGCAATTCGCAGCTAAATCGGGTCATGCGGGGCACCCCGCGATCAGTTCGCGCTGGTTTTCGACAGGGATGGCGGGGGGTGCTGGCATATTGCCTGGTGAACGCAGGCCTACCACACGTTATGATGGCCACTTCGCCGCGATTGCGCGTTGATGTTCGACAAGGATGGTGGGGGCCGACATGTTTCCCAATGTGCGCAGGCGCACCTGGCAAACCTCTGCGCGTGCCACGGACGTGGCGCACACGGCGCGGCTGGGGCACGCGGCACACGTGGCGCGCGTGAGCATGTGGCGCGTTTGGCTCACCAGACGTGCCTGGCACGCCTGCCGATCCAAAGGCGACCGCTGAGTATGCTGAGGCTCGGATACTGCTTATGTCTTGGGCGGGCGGGTGGGAGTGAGCCAAACCATTTGCGTGTGGGAGAGGTGCCTTGTCCCTGCCCCATACCCTTCCCCTACACCCCCATCGTGAACCCCCATAGTTCCAGGTTGTTGTTCCTCCCCCCTCGCCCCCCTCCTCTGCCGAGGGCTCTTGACGCGCCTTTCAAAACGTCTAAAGCGGTTTAAGGCATTCTGCCGCAAGGGTGTCATTCTTTAGCAGTGGGGCCCACGCCGCTGGCAGGGTCCGCTGCAGCTGGAGGCGTCGCGGCGTCGCGTGCGGCTGCAGGGGGAGGCGGAGAAGCATGAGGCGCTAACCTCATGCCCGTGAGAATAAACACTAGGGGATAATAAAGTTCGGGGTTCAGGGAGAGATAATAAAAGTAGCCCAGCAGACCTCAGCATAACCTCGAAGTAAGAGATGATCAAGAGGAGACCAAGCCGAGCACGTTTTGAGACATCCTTGGCGTTTAGTTTTCATAGAAATATCCTCAACAATGGCTTATCTCGCTGGAGACATCCTCGACACATCCCTTGTTTCGCTTGAGACATCCGCAAACTATTGCTTATTTCGATTGAGACACAGTCAAACTATTGCTGATGTCGCTTGAGACATCCTCGGAATAGCTCATCCGCCTCGGCGTCCCTAGATAATCAACGGCGGCGATAATAAAGTTCAGGCGGGCGGAGGAATGGAGGAAGCTATATAAAAAAAGAAAAATAAAAAAGAATAAAGAATAAAATAAAAGAAATGATAGGAGGAGGAGAAGGACGAAGAGAAGACAAAATCTCGAGTTTCAAATCTATTAGATTTTATTTACAAGCGCTTTATGAAAATTGTTTTTTGTAAGTGCTCGTGTAGGGTAGCTCATGTGCCTCAATTTCCATGGATAATCAACCCCAGAGATAAAAAAAGTTCAGGCGAGCGTGGGGACAGAGATAAAAATAAAAGAAGAAGAATACAGTAGAAGAAAAATAAGAAAGAAGAAGAAGAGGATAATAAGAAGAGGACGAAGAAAGGAAAAATCCAAAGTTCCAAATCTATCAATTTTAATTTACAAACGCTTTGTGACAATTGTTTTTTAAGTGCTCGCGTAGGGTAGCTCATGTGCTTCATTTTCCATGGATAATCAACCCCAGAGATAAAAAAAGTTCAGGCGAGCGTGAGGACATATAGAAATATAGCAGAAGAAAAGGAAAGTAGAATAATAATAAGAAGAGAAGAAGAAGAGAAGAAGATGAAGAGAAGAAGAACGGAAAAATGGAAAGTTCCAAATATGTCAATTTTAATTTACAAACGCTTTATGATTTTTTTTTTTTTTAAAAAAAAAAAGTGCTCATGTAGGGTAGCTCATGTGCTCCCCTTTCCATGGATAATCAACCCCAGAGATAAAAAAAAGTTCAGGCGCGCGCGGGGATACATACATCTATAAAAAGGAAGATAATAAAAACATATCAATAAAAAGAAAAACTTGCTGGTTTAGCTTGAAACATCCTTGAGACATCCTTGGAACATTGCTCGTTTCGTTTGAGTCTGCCTCCCAAAATTTTTGGTTTCGCTGACACATCCTGAAAAAGTGTGATCGCTTCGCTTGATGTTGCTATATCAACATCGCTTGATGTTGCTATCTCAACATAGCGTTTCGAGGTGATAATGAAGTTCGGCCTCAGCGCTCGCCGCCCAATTTGAATTTTGTATAGGGCGACGATAATCAACTCTAAACACTGAAGGGGGGGTCCCTTTATTATCATCGGCGTGCGGTTATGGGGGATGATCCGAGCACCAGCGCCGCGGGTGCAGGAAACTAGGACGCTCGATTCGGATGATGATGATCAGGTTCGGGTGGACTGAGGTTCAGGAGCTGTGCCACTGACTGACCCTACGGGTTCTGCATTCAAGGCGCGACCCAGGACCAGTGCCCGCGGCCCCCTAGGGCCGACGCCAAGCTGAGTCCAGCAGGCGGCGGGACGTCGACGAGAACGGCGCGCCCGACGGACGCGCCCACGGAACGGGCCGAGGGCCCCTGGCCTCCCAGAGGCCCCACGCGACGTGGCCAGGGCCCCCCCCCCAGCAAGACACGTCGGCAACGTTTGTCGAGCCGCGACCGGCCATGGCGACTGCCCCCACGGGGCAAGGAGGCCGTGCAGCGCAGGCAGCGTGGGCCGATTCAGTCCAGGCGTCGCCTCCGAGCCGAGCCTCCCGCGCAGTCTATCCCTGGGCACAGCGCGGTGACCGCGTGCACCCGCGACTCGCTCGCCAGCAGCCGCGCGGGATTGGGCGAGCGTCTGTACGCTGGCACACTTCCTGCTGCAGCAGTCCTCGACGCGTGTCTTGAATTTCTTCACGCGCTCCTTCGTCCAAAACCGCGGGAGGTGGAGGGTCCAGTATTCACCGCTGCTCGCCGCTGGTGGCCGCGTCGGGCCGCGCAGGATCGCCATGGGCGGCGTCATCCACGTCTGCGTCGATGCCGAGCTTGCCACCCTTCGTGGAGCCGTCGGCTTCGGTCTGCACGTCAGGCACTGTGCAGCTGCGCGTCGTCAAGCTTCGCGCCGATCGCCTCCAGCATGCCGAGCGCTTGCCGAAATTCTGTAAGTGCATCGCCGCGGAGCCGGCTGAGTACCACAGGTGGTCGCCGACGGCCCTTACCATGGCGATGTGGCCGCGCCTGAGGTCCACTTCAGCGCGCGGCTTCGCAGGCGGCTCCTGGCCGTGACGGCGAGCTGCCTTGCTCCCCACCGCTGCCATGACGCTGTTTCTACCTGCCGCGAGCGCAGCGGAGCCCGCGCGGCACCGCTACGCAATCTGCGCGATCATGTTGCAACACAACGTGGCCCAGGCGACGCGGCCCGTGACCCACCCGAGGCCGCGCACCCAGATCCACTTCAGAGGGCACGAGCCTCGGGCCTGCACCTGCAGCTTGCCCAAGGCGACGTCGTCGGCCTCGCCCGTGGCCTCGCCCGGGAAGCCGACCAGGTCGTCCATGTCCTGGTCCTCAGCGTCGCCGTCTGTCCTGCCCAGGTGGTGCCCGCAAGCTGCTTCGCCGCCTCCCGCTGGCACCGGCAGGGGGACACTGGGCGGGAGGGGCTTGCCCACCTCTGCGCGGGCTTGTGCATCCTAGGAAGAGCACGCAGATCCAAGTCAGCGGGCCGATGCCGTGGACGTCCTGCTCTTACATTTTGCCCCAGTCGGCGTTGTCGCACTCGCCCGTAGCCTCACCCAGGGAGCCGTCCACGTGCTTCACCTCGGTAACTGGGTCGTCCTCGAGCCGCACGTAATGCCTGGCATCACTGCCACTGAAGCTGCACGAGAAGCTGGTCGCCCCGCACGTGCAGAGCAGGCAGCGAGGAATTCGGTCGCCATCAGTAGGCATCGCGAAGCGGGCAGTCACGCGCAGCGCGCGCCCGCGCCGCCTCGCCGCGGCGGTGTCCCGCGGGCCGCCCGCCGCTACATGGAACACTGGCACCGCGTCCAGGCCGGGCGCTTTGTCCGCACCCTCGAGCTGAAGCTACATGCTGATGCTGATGATGATGATGATGATGATGATGATGATGATGATGATGATGATGATGATGATGATGATGATGATGATGATGATGATGATGCTAATGCTGATGCTGATGATGATGATGATGATGATGATGATGATGATGATGATGATGAAGCTGCTGCTGCTGATGGTGATGATGCTGATGATGATATTGATGATGCTGGTGCTGTTGATGATGACACTGTTGCTGATGATGATGCTGATGATGAGGATGATGATGCTGATGCTGATGCTGATGATGCTGATGATGATGAGTCTGGTGATGTTGCCAATGCTGATAATAATGCGCTGACGCTGATGTTGATGTTGATGCTGACGTTGATGCTGCTGATGGTGATGATGGTGCTGATGAGGATGATGCCGATGCTGATGCTGATGATGATGCTGCTGATGATGATGTTGATGATGGTTGTGATGATGATGTTGCTGATGCTGCTGCTGATGATGCTGCTGCTGATGATGCTGATGTTGATGCCGGTGGGGATGATCATGATGATGTTGATGATAACAATGATGATGAGGAGGAGGACGACGAAGAAGAGGAGGAGGAGGAGGACGAAAAGAAGGTGAGGAGGAGGCAGAGGATGAAGAGACAGATGAGGAGTAGGGGGGAGATGGAGGGCAAGAAGCTGGAGAAGGAGGGGGAGACGTCGAATCAGGGCGCGGGCTCCGATGTGAATTACCCCGCCGAGCTCTGTGGTCACCAAGCGTGTGACATTTTCTCTCCCGCATGGCCTCACCCCCCAGGTCCGATCAGCTTCTCTCCCATCGCGCCATGAAAAAAGAAGGGGAAATAAGGAAGAAGAGGCATAAGAGGCAAAATCGTGGTGTGCAGAAGCCCCCCACCCCACCCTGGGTTGGAAAAGCAATGGTTTGGAGGAGGGAGGGGGGCACCAACACGGTTGCACTGCTCCCCCAGGTACCTCCGATGTCCTCGGTGCCCCAGCAGGGCGAATGGCATCTGAACCTGTTGCCGATGTCTGCTTCTCATCTGTAGCCTTCAAGCCGCTAGCCAAGTCCAGGCGGTGCTCATCGCTGGACACGTGGCCGAGGGTCGATGGCCCCTCTGTCAAACAAAACTCCCCCCTTTGCTCAGCTCAACAAAGCTCTGGCGTCTTGGTCACCAGCTTCGCGCATCGCACCCTGCGGTGTGCGACGCGGGGTCATCCGTCTGTTCCGGCGAGGCCCTCTTTGGAAAAGGGCAGCCTCATTTTCCCAGGCAGCGGCGACCGAAGCGCGATCACCTTCGCACCCCTGGGAATGGCCTAGAACTTGCCCCAACAAAACAAACCGGGCCGAGCCGGCTCTGGAACAGTGGCCTGGCGGGCGTGGCGCAGGCCACTCGTGCGGATGTACTGAAACAGTTAAGCTCACGGTGCCGCGGCGCCAGAAGTTGCCCGCGTGGAAGGCACGTGCCGCGGGAAACGCTGGGACGATCTGTTCGCTCGCCCCAGGATGTGGCCGAGAACCGCTCTCCCTTCGCTCCTCATCCTTCTCCTCCTCCTCCTCCTCCGCCCGCTCCTCCTGCTTCTCTAATTTCCCTCCACATCCCCTCCTCCTCTTGCTCAATCTTCCACTTTCTCCTCTTCATCCCGCCCCTCCTCTCTTTTTCCCTCTCCTTTCTCCTCTTCTTCCTTCCTTACACCATCCTGCTCCTCTGTCCCTTTTCCTCCTCAGTCCTAGTTGCTTTTTCCTCATCGGTGACTCCTCCTTCTCCTGCTGCTCTGACCACCAGACGTGTAGAGCGGGCCAGGCGGTTCGACTAATACGGGTCCCCCCTTCAATGGCAACGAAGCTTAGCATTTCTCACAGTTCCACGGGTGGATTGGGGGGGAGGGCGTCTCAAAATGTGGTTCTCACCTCAGCGCCGCGAGCGTTCGTCTGAATAAAAGCTTCAAGCAATTACGCGGGTGGGGGGTCCTTTTCAAAATGTGGCTCTCGTGCTAGCACGATGCACCTTCATTTAACCAGCTCCCAGCGGTTACATGGAGGGAGGGCGGTGCATTTGCATAAGGTGGCTCTGACCTAAGCGCCGTGCGGGGTCTGTACCACACATTAAACACTTACACGCGTGGAGGGCTATGACCTTTCAAAATCCGCCGACCCCAGAGGCGTGTGCGGAATCCTTCTTACCCACACACTCTGGCACATCGCCCTGGCCACCCCCACGCCCCAGCAACCTTACCCCTCTGGACGTTGCTCTGGACGCCAGAGCCTCCTGGAGCCTCTGGGCACCGCCAGTTCCTGCTTCTCCTGCTCTTCCTCCTCCTCCTCCTCCTCCTCCTCCTCCTCCTCCACCTGCTCCTCCTCCTCCTCCCCCTCCTCCTCCTCCTCCTCCTCCTCCTCCTCCTCCTCCTCCATAATTTCTCGCACGAAACCTATCAACGCCCCCCCCCACGCCCCCCTCCTCGCCCCGGGAGCGCACTGTTCGGGACCCCCCACCCCACAATTTCTCGCCCGAAACCTACCAACACTCCCCCCCACGCCCCCCTCCTCGCCCCGGCATCCTCTCCCCGGGAGCGCTCTGTTCTTGGGACCCCCCAGCTCACAATTTCTCGCCCGAAACCCACCAACGCCCTCCCCACGCCCCCCTCCTCGCCCCGGCATCCCCACCCCGGGAGCGCTCTGTTCTTGGGACTCACCACCCCACAACTTCTTCCCCGAAACCTACCAACGCCCCCCCTCACACGACAATTTCTCGCCCGAAACCTACCAACGCCCCCCACCACGCCTCCACCACGCTCCGGCATCCCCCCGGGAGAGCTCTGTTTTTGGGAGCCCCCACTCGACAATTTCTCGCCCGAAACCTACCAACGCCCTCCACCACGCCCGGGCATCCCTCCCCGGGAGAGCCCTGTCTTTTGGGACTCCCCACACGACAATTTCTCGCCCGAAACCTACCAACGCCCCCCACCACGCCTCCACCACGCTCCGGCATCCCCACCCCGGGAGGGCTCTGTTTTTGGGACCCCCCACCCCACAATTTCTCGCCCAGAACCTACCAACGCCCCCCTCCTGGCCTGACATCCCCACCCGGGAGAGCTCTGTTTTTGGGACCCCCCACCCCACAATTTCTCGCCCAGAACCTACCAACGCCCCCCTCCTGGCCTGACATCCCCACCCCGGGAGAGCTCTGTTTTGGGACCCCCCACCCCACAATTTCTCGCCCAGAACCTACCAACGCCCCCCTCCTGGCCTGACATCCCCACCCCGGGAGAGCTCTGTTTTTGGGACCCCCCACCCCACAATTTCTCGCCCAGAACCTACCAACGCCCCCCTCCTGGCCTGACATCCCCACCCCGGGAGAGCTCTGTTCTTGGGACCCCCCACCCCACAATTTCTCGCCCAGAACCTACCAACGCCCCCCTCCTGGCCTGACATCCCCACCCCGGGAGAGCTCTGTTCTTGGGACCCCCCACCCCACAATTTCTCGCCCAGAACCTACCAACGCCCCCCTCCTGGCCTGAAATCCCCACCCCGGGAGAGCTCTGTTCTTGGGACCCCCCACCCCACAATTTCTCGCCCAGAACCTACCAACGCCCCCCTCCTGGCCTGACATCCCCACCCCGGGAGAGCTCTGTTTGTGGGACCACCCACCCCACAATTTCTCCCCCAGAACCTACCAACGCCCTCCTCCTGGTCTGACATGTTCACCCCGGCGGAGCTCTGTTTGTGGGACCCCCCACCCCACAATTTCTCGCCCAGAACTTACCAACGCCCCCCTCCTGGCCTGACATCCCCACCCCGGGAGAGCTCTGTCTCTGGGACCCCCTACCCCACAATTTCTCACCCAGAACCTACCAACGCTCCCCTCCTGGCCTGACATCCCCACCCCGGGAGAGCTCTGTTTTTTGGACCCCCCACCCCACAATTTCTCGCCAGAACTTCCTCGCCACTCCTCCTTGGCCTACATCCCACCCATGGAGAGCTCTGTTTTTGAGACCCCAAACCTCGCAATTTCTCCCCCAGAATTTACCAACGGAACGCCCCCCTCCTGGCCTGACTCCCCACCCCGGGAGCAAGCTCTGTTTTTGGGAACCCCCAACCCCGCAATTTCTTTGCCCGACCTACCAACGCAGCGCCCTTCCCTGGCTGACATCCAAAAGGTGGAAATCGCCGCGCTCTGTTCTTGGGACCCCCACCCTACAATTTATGGCCCAGAACCTACCAGCGCCCCCCTCCTGGCTTGACATCCCCACCCCGGGAGAGCTTTGTTTTAGGGACCAACCACCCCGCAATTTCTCGCACAGAACCGACCAACGCCCCCCGCCTGGCCTGACATCCCCACCCCGGACGAGCTCTGTTCTTGGGACCCCCCACTCCACAATTTCTCACCCATAACCTACCAACGCCCCTCTCCTGGCCTGACATCCCCACCCCGGGAGAGCTCTGTTCTTGGGACCCCTCACCCCACAATTTCTCGCCCAGAACCTACCAACGCCCCCCTCCTGGCCTGACGTCCTCACCCTGGGAGACCTCTGTTCTTGGGACCCCCCACCCCACAATTTCTCCCCCTCCTGGCCTGACATCCCCACCCCGGGAGAGCTCTGTTTTTGGGACCCCCCACCTCGCAATTTAACGCCGAGAACCTATCACCGCCCCCCTCCTGGCTTGACATCCCCACCCCGGGAGAGCTCTGTTTTTGGGACCCCAACCCCACATTTTTTCGCCCAGAACCTACCAACGCCCCCCTCCTGGCCTGACATCCCCACCCAGGGAGAGCTCTTTTTTTGGGGACCCCCCACACCCCACCATTTCTCGCCCAGAAAACTACAACGCCACCTCCTGGCCTGACATCCCCACCTCGGGAGAGCTCTGTTTGT